TGGTTACTCGGCAAAAATTATTGCAACTGGGTTGGGATGTTTTGTCACACCCACCATATAGCCCTGACCTTGCGTCTTCGGATTACCATTTGTTTCGTTCCATGCAAAACTCTTTAAATGGTAAAATTTTTAACAAGGCGGATGATGTCGGATCACACCTAATTCAGTTTTTTAGTAGCAAAGACCAGACATTTTACGAACGGGGAATTGTTACTCTGCCAGAACGATGGAAAAGGTCATCGACAAGAACGGCCAATATCTAATTGAATAAAGTTATATTTTTAAACAAAAATTCCGAATTTGCCTTCTTATTTGAAATCGGCAATGACTTAGTTGCCAACCTAATAGATGGATGTCTCCAAGTGCTAGGTGTAAAAGAGGTTACCGCGACAGTTGTTCAAGAGCTAAGACGAGGAACGACCATTACATTATTGTCAGCTTCATTCTGCACAAAAAACTTCCAAACCATGAAATCGGAATTCACAACCACCAGTTCGATATTGAATTCTCAATTTTTCCTCGATGTAAATTTACGCAGACAATAGGATTAACCGATCATTTGTCATTATTTTCTAAGCCTGTTGGGAGTGCACGCAAATGAGCTTTGAACACCTTTGCTTGTAGAACTCTCTCAAAACTTACACCCTTCTAGCTTATCATGATCCTCCACGCACAGTGAAGGCCAGACATCTTTCGAAAAATAGTTACGTCAAGTGGAGTCAGTAAATGAAAAGCTTGAGTTGAATACTTTCCACGAACTTTAAAATGTTACCCCTCATTCATATCCATCACGAATGTACCCCAATTTTTGTCTATATTACAATAAGACTCAAGTCTGCCACGTCTCATTTAAAATTACATCCCTAATCGTCCCTTCATTTCTGTCCTTGTTCAAATGACTCGCATAAATCCCCTTCGTCTAGTCACTCACACACTCCGCACTTACTAAAATAGACACTTCTTTGTCACCTATGCTCTCGAATTCAACCTTCTCGTTCCCTCTTCTACCTTGATTCCTCGTCGATCTACTTAATGTCTTGCTCCACATTTTCAAGAGTGGTTCCCGGTTATTGGCTGATAACTACAGCCAAAGCATCCACGACAGGATTCCTGCACATTAATTAAAGCAATTTGAAAAATCCTCGCGATTATTGCAAATTCAGTTGCAATGATTCACGCAACAGCTACTCCAAAAATAATTTCATTTTGGTAGGAAGATTTGCATCTATTCCAAATGTTAAAATGAATACATTCGCGGATTTAAAATATGGACTTGTTTCAAAGACGTGGAAATATAAATGATTATTTCTAATATTCTATTTAATGAAGTCGCTAACATTTATTTGGCCTATTTCAGAATTTATCACCCATTGAGCAGTAAAAAGAATGAGGCAAATATGACAAAAATGCGCGTTAAATGTCAATTTAGACTCCACTTACTCAAAAACATAGAATCACAATTCCCATTAAAGCAAACGTTGGCATTAAATTAATTATAACAATCAGTAGTTAGTATCAAAACAAGCTAAGGTTATATCTTCAGAGCGAGAGAAATAAAATATATCCGTAATCGTAACATGTTACGAATAGCAAAAAGTATTACCTTATGAATGTTTAAAATAAAAGAACACACTAGAATTCACTGCGTAATAATGGATTATCTGTTTTTTATATGCGCTTATATCAAATAACAGCGAATGTGACCTTTTTGTTTAACCTAACCACCTAACTGGTGTTATTTCGTTCGCCGATATTTCGCTATCAATGTCTCCAGGTCCTACTCTCCAACTTAATAGTGGGTACAAGGTACCCCAAGTTGCCTTCGGGACATTTGAGGTAAGCCTCATATAAGTGTAACCTACTATCTCACAGGCACCCCGAACTGAAGTGTATAATGCCGTAAAAGAAGCATTTGATGCCGGTTACCGTCATATTGACTGTGCGATGTTGTACGCCAACGAGGAAGAAGTAGGCCAGGCCATTGCTGAATCTATGAAGAAGCACAATCTGAAACGCGAAGACATCTTTGTCACTTCGAAACTCTGGTGTGATCGACATGATCCCAAAGTCGTTCGAAAATCTTGTGAAGAATCGTTGAAAGCTCTCGGTCTCGAATATCTCGACCTCTATCTCATTCACTTCCCTTTTTCTTTCCAAGTCAAGGAAGGTGCTAAGTTTGATTTTGTCGATCCAAATAAACTCATTTTCGAGAATCACAAACTTGAAGACACCTGGAGAGAAATGGAAAAGTTGGTTCCTGCTGGATTGGCAAAGTCTGTTGGTGTGTCTAACTTCAACAAACGCCAAATTGAGCATATCATTAAGCATGGAACGATGGTGCCAGCTGTCAATCAGATTGAAGTGCATCTTCACTGGCTTAACACCAAATTGATTGAATTCTGTCGATCGAAAGGCATTCAGGTTGAAGCTTATGCTCCTTTCGGCTCTCCTGGATTCATCAAGTGAGCCTCTCTAGTTTTGAGCCTGTTTTAGTTTCGAGTTGTCAAATACTTTCGAGAATCACAAGCGTTTGTGTTGTTATAGAGAAAAATTTGAGTCACTCTTTGAACTGAAAGCTGTTGTTGAGATCGCAAATAAGCACAAAGTTACTCCTGCCCAAGTTCTCATTCGTCATGGTCTACAGAGAAATATGGTTGTCATTGCCAAGAGTGTTACCCCAGAGAGAATTCACAAAAACTTCGATGTAAGTATTCGCCTTTACGTTTAAGCCTTGCTTTCTCTGTGTCATACTTCGAGGCATTTGGTTTCTATTTTGCAAAGGTTTTGAGTTTCGAACTGACGAAGGAGGAGATGGACAAGCTTAACCATGCTGGTACAAGCATTCGCCTGTTCAAGATACCAGCGTAAGTCATAGATTCAATTTAAATATAATGGTTTTTTCTTGAACATGCGTTCAGTGAATACTTGTTTCTACCTTGCAGCATGGTCGATCATCCTGAATATCCCTTCCACGATGAATACTAAACATTGAATGTCTTGTTTGTTAGATGCTCAGCTACTCGTGTGTTCAATCTGGAATATCCATACAATTTGTTTGATTTTTATTATAAGATCGAATTAAATAAATCTTGCATTTTTTCGCAAAACCCTTTCTTGCTTTCACCGATGAATTATGCGGTTGTAGACTTTCGCATTGTTATTTGAGGCGATTAATTTAGACAGAGAAGAGATAGTCGCCTTTTTCTTAACCTATGATGATTTGAAATGTGACATCTAATTGGAAGTTTTTAAGGCTAGAATGATTTATTTATTTATTTATATCAAATGGCAGACATCTTGATGGTTATCATTAGCCCTTTAGTTGACTTCAGGCTTCACAGAGGGGAAGAAACATCATATTGAAAAGGTCGACAGAGAGGGGGGACAGAAGAGTGTTTCAAAGATGTAAGAGACAAACACTAAGGTAGAAAAAATGTGAGGTGAGTACTGTAGAAATAGTCGAATATAGCATTGAGTGAGGTGGTGGTAGTTTGAAGTCAGAAGTCAACTGCCAGTTAATAGACTTTTTGCCGTATGAATATACGTTGCCCAGGGTGAACCGCGTGGAGGTAAGTCTATCGCACACCCCAGGCTAGAAATATTGAATTTGTAACACTGCATTGCACATTGCTCGTGTTCATTTCCTAACACAGTGGAAAACCGCATTCACATTGTGAGATCTAACTCAACTTGAGAATGGAACATCCACCCCTTTGTAATCTCAAGTTCAAATCTCCTAGGTGGAAGTGAGTCTGTGACTTCTAGTTTATATGAACTAAACACTCTGTAGGAGGAGATAATGGAGATGGCAACACTTCCTCAACTTTGCATTTTTGCTATGAGTAACTTGAAATGTCATCTCTCTCTATAGGAGAAAGTGAAATCAACTTCGATGCTCT